ATATAAAGTGTATCTCTTTTAGTTGAAAAAAAAAGTGATTGAAATTCATGATCTGTGGATTGTAGCTTAAGGTTTTGGAGGGATGGGAGGCCATGGGCACATATTTCTGAGTATCCTTCCTTTGGCATTCCCCTGGTTAAACGATCACGTCTATGACTCATTCCTAGTCCCGGGGGGAACCTTTCCTGAATCTAGAGCAATCCTCATGTGTCACAACTTGGGGTATTCTCCATATCTGTGTTTCTGCCTGCCAACATCCATCCCCATTCCCCAGGAACCAGCAATCTCCCATCTCCCCGTTGCCACCACCAGCACAGTTTTCCATTTAGGAGCCACCTCAACTGGGGTTACCTTCATGGCCTCCAAGTTTCCCAAAGCACTGACTGTCCTGACTGCATTCTGTTTTTTCCACAAGCAGACAGCTTGTCCTCACTGTGCTCTGCTCATTCTTACCTCCAAATCTTTGCTCACTCTGGACCCCCGCTTGGAAAGCCTTTATTTTCTGCTTGCCTGAGTCCTAGTCTCCCTTCAAGGCTTTGAAAAAGAGCACTACCCCCTTCTGCTGGCATCCAGGGCTGTCCTGGGTGTTCTATGTATGACCGTGGTGTCTCCACCCCTTCACCTCCAAATATTCTCCACTGCCTGTCTTCTCTAGGAAGCTTTGGCTGTGCTGTCTTCAGGTCTCAAACTCTTTCAGGCACCTACTTGTTCATCGTTCTCCCCAGATCACCCTGAGAGCCCCCTCAGGGATGAATTGAGTAAGAGACAATTTCCACTACATCAGTTTTCTCCAGAATTTTATTTTGGATCTCATAGACTGATAAAACTTCCAAAAAACATTGGGGACCAACAGAATTTGCGTGTATATATTCACAACATGTATTTAACTACTACGACATGGAAAACTGAAGAGGCATATGTCACTCTTGGCTGAGGCATTTAAGTGTCCGTATGCTTCCTCCATCTTTCTCTTCCACCTTGTATCATAAAAACACCAAAAAAAGGAGGAAGGACATGATTTCAGAACACAGACTCATTCTTTAAATTAAATATATTTATTTTTAACAAAAGCCCTATGTTACTCTTATTTTCATCATTTTGCTGTAGACCAGTGAGAACATTGTCATGGAAACCACCAGAAAGATGCAGGAAAGAAGAAAGATACTGGAGGATGTCAGAGGAGGGAAATGAAGGGACAGGGAAAGGGGACAGGGGGAGATTATGGAGGTCCACCAGCAAGGTGTCCCCCTGCTCTGGACAGACTTCCATTCTCATCATACAAGACTGGGGTGGCCATGTTTGGGCCCTGGCCAATGGGCAGGGCCGTGGCCGCACTCGAAGATCAGGTGGCTCAGCAACCACTCCCACACCCCAGCTCTGAACACCCTGGTGATCTGGCTCCCACCCCTCTTCATACTGCACGGGTGTCCTGGACTTGTGTCTTTGACTAGCGCCAGCTGGATTTGGGAGACAAGTCATTGGTATAGAAGAAAGAGTGCAGGGCTTGGAGTCTAGAGCCCAGGGTTTAGGCCTGGCTCTACTGAGTCACTTGTGGAAGTCCCTTCCTTCTCTGGTCCTCAGTTTCCTCACTTTAAAATGAAAGTTCTGGGACGCCTGGGTGGCTCAGTCAGTTAAGTGTCCGACTCTTGATTTGGGCTCAGGTCATGATCCCAGGGTCATGAGATCAAGCCTTGTGTCAGGTTCTGCTCTGTTAGTGCAGAGCCTGCTTGGGATTCTCTCTCTCTGCCCTTCCATTGCTCACGCACATGCACATGTACTCTTTCTCTCAAAATAAACTTAAAAAAAAAAAAAGTTTCTGAACCAGTCTCAAATCATTTCTGAGGAAAACTGTGGCCCTATGTCTTAAAAAATTTTTTTAAGCCATGCACATAGAATTCCAGGGGCTCCACCATCCTCTCAGGGCCTTCAATAAACTTCCCAGGGGCTCTTGGACCCCAGATCAAGAACCCCAAATTGCCAATCCTGATACACAGCTTCTGGCCTCTTGCCTCCAAAACTGCCCTTTCCTGGGCAGTTAACAATATTTTTCCAATTATCTAGCATTCACAAGGGCACAACCAGATACCACAGGGAAGGAGGTAACTCTGTGCAAAGAATTATTAGTGCCTGGGGATCCCCTCTAGTTCACAGTGGAGCTGGGAGATGTGGCGAGCTTCATGGTAACTAGCTGACCAAAGCAGAAGAACAAGAGTCTGAAGACAGTGAGAGACCATGACTGCTGGAGAGAGAGGACACCTTGATGACAGGAATCCCTTTATGGGAACAAAGACTTCTGGCCACCCAAGGCAGTACAGGACAATTGTAAGAGCTTGGGCTTAATAGCTAGAATGCCCTGGGTTTATATCTGGCTCCGTGACTTAATTGTGTTATTTGGGCACAGATTTGGGAATCTTTGGGTTCCTCATCTGTAAAATGGGGATAAGAGGTAGCAGAAATGACTGAATACACTAAATATTCCAGGATTCCCTTGAATTCCCCCCCCCCCTTGAAGAAGGTTGAGGTCATGTGACTAGTTCTGGTCAATGGTCACTGAGTGGAAGAGGCATATGTCACTCTTGGCTGAGGCATTTAAGTGTCCATATACTTCCTCCATCTTTCTCTTCCACCTTCCAGAATGACCCCAGAAGCCAATCTTCCAGATAGTGTAGTTACAAGATGGAAGAAAGGTCTTCTGTCCCATATCAGACTTCACACGAGTGGTAAATAAAACATTATTGTGCCAAGCCACCAAAATTTCAGGAGTTCTCTGTTGTGACAGCTAGTGTTAATTGACCTGACAAATATAGGGCTAATTGAGACAGTGGATCCAAAACTTTGAGTGCCATGGAAGCTGTTATTCTTAGAGAAAAGAGTTAAGGCCCCTATATTAGTCAGCTCAGCTGCCGTAACAAAATATCCTAGACTGGGTAGCTTAAATGACAGAGATGTATTTCTCACAGTTCTGAAAACCAGATGCCCCAGATCACAGTGTCAGCATAGTTGGGTTCTGGTGAGGGCTCTTTTCTTGGCTTGGAGATGGCTGCATTTTTTGCTGTGTCCTCATATGACAGAGACAAAGAGACAGCAAGCTCTCTGGTGTCTTTTCTCCTTCTTCTCCTTCTCCTTCTCTGTTTAAAGTGATCTCTGTGCCAAACGTGGGTCTTGAACTCATGACCCTGAGATCAAGAGTAGCATGCTCTACCAAGTGAGCCAGCCAAGTACTGCTCTGGTGTCTCTTCTCATGAGGGCACTAATCTCCTCAGGAGGGACCCCTCATGACCTCATCTAAACCTAACCACCTCCCAAAGTCCCCATCTCTACATATATTATCCCACTGGGGGTCAGGGCTTCAACATATGAGTTTGGGAGGAGGCATAATTACATCTTTAGCAACCCCTACCAAGGCAGGGCTTCTCATACCACCGGCCCTTTTTTTTAAAATTTTTAACGTTTGTTTATTTTTGAGAGACAGAGAGAGACAGAGTATGAGTGGGGGAGGGGCAGAGAGGGGGAAGACACAGAATCCAAAGCAGGCTCTAGTCTCTGGGCTGTCAGCACAGGCCCCAACTTGGGGCTTGAACTCGTGAACCTTGAGATCATGACCTGAGCTGAAGTCTGATGTCTGACTGAGCCACCCAGGCGCCCCTCATAGCTCTTCTTTTTTTTTTTTTTAATGTTTATTTTTGAGAGAGAGAGAGAGAGAGAGAGAGCGCACACAAGTGGCTTGAGGCAGACACAGAGAGGGAGACACAATCTGAAACAGGTTCCAGGCTCTGAGTTGTCAGCACAGAGCCTAACGTGGGGCTCCAACTCAGGAAGAGTGAGATCGTGACCTGAAACGAAGTCAGACACTTAACTGACTGAGTCACCCAGGTGCCCCTCATATCGCTTCTTAAGAGCAAATTTTTAGGGGCACCTGGGTGGCTCAGTTAAACAACAAACTCTTGATTTCAGCTCAGGTCATGACCTCTCAGTTTGTTGCAGTTTGTGGGTTCAAGCCCCAGGTGGGGCTCCATGCAGGCATCTCAGAGCTTGCTTGGGAGTCTCTCCCTGCCCCTCCCTCTCTCTCTGCCCCTTACCCCACCCCTCCCCCAATAAATAAATTTCTTAGAGCAAATGTTTAAAAAGAGAAGCAGGCAAGGGTGGGGTCAAGTGGGAGTTTCATGGAGAGGGCCATCCCGAGGAAGGCTCACCTCCCTGGAAACTCCACTGATTGCTACATGCAGCTCTCCCTTAGCCCCCCTCTTCTTTCTGGGTCTTCCTCTCTCCTCCCTTCCATTTTGTCCCCCATGCCCTGACTTTCATACAATTCACAGACAAATTCTGAGACAATCAACTCATTAGGACTGCACAAGTCCTAGGTCTTGGGGACCATCTTGTCTTACCTCCTGATTCTTACAGATGAGAACACTGGACCTGGAGAGGGTGTGAGAAGCAGAAGGGGGCGGGGAGTACTGGCTTCTTCAAAAGATAAGGGGTGGGGGACAATTTGGGGCACCAAGGACAGAGAGAGAAAGAGAGAGTGAGACTATTAAGAAGGAACCTATTTTCAAAGAAGAAGAAGAAGAAGAAGAAGAAGAAGAAGAAGAAGAAGAAGAAGAAAGCTATTTTCGTTTCAGTATATCAACTTTGTATAATTTTTCCAAAAATTTTATTTCACAGGTTTTTTTTCTTTTTTTTTTTTTTTTCAGTTTGGAAGTAATGCATATGGAGGCCCCTAGAGCCCCTAATATCTACAATCCAGCCTGTCCAAGGCTTGAATCCGGGTGTCACTGAATACCTTGCAGTGCTCCCTAGGGCCTGGGAGACTCCTCTGCGGTGCTAGAAAGGGCTTCAGGCCCTTCTGCCTCAGCTCCTGAGCAGCGTGTGACCATTAACTTCACCACCCTCCACCCCCAGGCTAGGGCGGGGCCCTGGGGCGCCAGGTCACATGCTAGGCACAGGGTATTCCCCCTCATCCCGCCCCCACCCCGTGGCCCCTCAGGAGTCCGACCTGAGCCTCCAAGCTCCATGCTCAGGCCCATGGCCACAGCCTTCTTGCTCCTCATGGGGGTCCTGCTCCCTTACCAGGGCAAGTTCTGGCCCTTTCACAAGAAGAAGTTCATGAAGGTGAGTCAAAGAACGTCTGGAACCTTCCACTACAGTAGAGGGTGGTGGCGGTGGCATCATAGACCAGCCAGGAGGTATCAGTTGGGTTTGGAGACAGAAGTGGGGGGTGGGGGTGGATACCACCCCAAAATGGGGACTTGTTCCCAGGGCTGGAAGCTTGATGTGTCCGCGGAAGGGTGTCAAAGCCCTACTTCACCTCCCTGTGGCCCCCGAGGTCAAAGAAAGTGGTCTTCTGACCAGCATCCTGCCCTCTCTCCCCTGAGCCCACTCGTCCAGCCAGCCACGCCTCAGCAACCTGCCCTATTCCTCCTTCCCCTCTCCTAAGCACAATGACTGTTCCTTCCCTTCCCCATCTTTCACTCCCTCCTTTTCTTCCCACCCCCGCCCCTGCCAAAGCGTGATCTGGGAGTATATGCTCCCCCAGCACTGGGGGAGGGAGGCCCAGGAAAGGAGAGGCAGAGAGAGAGGTACCAGTCCCCCTTCCTCTCCTGCTCCTCTGAGTGCTGCTGGAGTGGGTGTAGAGGGGGTGGCACCTGGCGGTGATCATCTCCTGGCTTCCCTTCCTGGCCCCCGGGGGCCTTGGCAAGGCACCAGGAATCCCCCCTCACTTTCCCACACAGTGAGAGGGCTGGTGACACAAGAGTTGTCCTCACAGATGAATGGGGCTGAGTGCTCCCACCACTCTGAGTGTGTCAGTGACTGCTGCCTGATGGACCTGAACAACAGGGGTGCTCTCTGTGCCCCCAAGGCTAGAGTAGCCAGGCTGTGCTTGCCCCAGGTGAGCCTCTGGGCTGGGGCGGCCCCCTCTGGCCGGAAGGGTGGGGAAGGTTAACAAAACCCAGGTGGCTGCCGCCGCTGCTTCTTCACGCTCTGCTTGGAGTGCCTTTTCCCCTTCCTCCACCCGGCAAGCTCCTACTGGTCCTGCGGTACACCTCCAGCCACCTCCTCTGAGAAGCCTTCTCTGCTTGGAGCTCCCATGAGCTCATACCCTCGGCACAGCGTGGCTCTCCCTGGTTTGCCGTGTTTTGTGTCTGCCTCCACCACTGGCTGGAGCTCTTCAAGGGCTGGTCGAGCCCTTACCCACCCTGGGCTTAGTATCTGCCCATAGTAGGTGTTCAACGAATGTTTGTTGAATGAGTATTCCCTACCCTAACATCACTGCGGCCAAGTAGATGGGAGAAGACCTTTTCCCTACTGATCGCCACCTCCTTGCCACAATGACCTCATTTCTGGAGAGGGGCAAAGCACTGCAGCGGCAGGACCGTAGCTTTGGAGTTGGGCCTGAGTTTAATTTTTTTTTTTTAACGTTTATTTATTTTTGAGACAGAGAGAGACAGAGCATGAACGGGGGAGGGGCAGAGAGAGAGGGAGACACAGAATCGGAAACAGGCTCCAGGCTCTGAGCCATCAGCCCAGAGCCCGACGCGGGGCTCGAACTCACGGACCGCGAGATCGTGACCTGAGCTGAAGTCGGACGCTTAACCGACTGCGCCACCCAGGCGCCCCGGGCCTGAGTTTAAATCCTGAGTTTTTCAAGCCCTGTCTTTGCCACTTCGGCCAGGTCACTTCTGCTCTCTCAGCCTTAGTTTCCTCATCCGTAAAATGGGGCTAAAGTAACAACCTCACCAGGTCATCCCGGCAACCACAGTGTTCACTGGAGCTGGGTTATGAGCTGGTGGACATGCAAAATGTGCAGGACGTCATGTTACTGCTCCTCTCTTCTTGTTGGGCCCTGGGCCCAGAGCTCTCTAGGAAGAATGGGCTGGCCTCCAGGTCCCTGTCTGGGGAGCTGCCGGTGCTGTAAGGAACCTGTCAGGCCCCTGACTCAACAGCTGAGGTGGCCAGAGGGTCTTTTCTTTATGGGCCCTTGCTCTGTTTTATTTAGTTCTCACATCACCCTGTGAGGTGGGTTACTATTATTATCCCCCTTGGACAGATGAGGAAACTGAAACCAAGAAGCTCATTAACTTGTCTATGGTCCCAACGCTGCAGGGGGCTGCTCACCCCTTCACTTGCTCCTGCTCCCCAAGCTGTTTAAACTCCCTTCTCCCCTTTACCTTAGTGACCCCCAACCCTTGTTCCCATCTCCCGCAGACCAAGGGAAGCATCAACATCATATGCCCCTGCCAGTGGGGCTTGAAGTGCATCTCCAAGGACCCGACCTGTTCCCGCCGGTGCCATTTGATTTAGAAAAAGATGCAGGCTGGTCACGGCCACCCCTCCCTGCCTCCCTGGGGGCCACGGGCCTGGAGAGTCCCCATCTTGCTCAAAGTCCAGCTCCTGAGACATTAAAGTCACTTCCTGACTCTGGCCTCTGTTGCACTTCCTGGGAGGGGGAATCTGGTAGGGATTGTTCCAGTCTGGGGCAGGAAGGTTTGGCCCTATCTGGACAGTGGAACTGCAGGAAGGGAACAGGGTAGGGGTAGGTGAGCCAAGAGGCTGGGTCCCGGAAGGGCCGAGTCTTGGGATGGAGGGCTGGATGGGAAGAGTGGGGTTGAAGAATACAACAGGAGAGTATGTGTTGGGGTGCCCATGGGTGGGTGTGTGATAGGAAGGACTGGAAGGGAGTATTGAAATGCTTTCCAAGGGTGGAGGTCATTGAGAGAGTGTTGATGAGAATGTATGTGAAGGCACAAAAATCTTCGTGCCTGGTGGTGAGAAAGGGACCTGGTACACAGAGGTCTCTCTCCATTCTCAGATATTATCAGTTCCATCGTATGGATAAAGAAATTGAGGCTCCGAGAACTACACGACTTGCCCAAGGTCACATCATGGGGGGATCAGTTAGGACTCTTCCTGCTGCAAGTATCTAAAACAACCCAAACTGGTCTGGATGATCAGGAAATTCACTGGAAATCTCGCGGCTGGCGTGCCTCAGGTCCGGCTGAATCCAGCAGCTCCATGGCCCTCAGGACGGATTCCTTCTCAGTAGCCACATACGTTCCCGGTGTCACCCAACAGTGACAGCTAAGACTTCTTGGGCACTGATGTTCCACACACTGTACAAAGTGCTTTCTTATCTATATTAGCTTATTTTATTGTTACAACAAGTTTAGGGTAGGTACCCTAATTATCTTTATTTTACAAATAGGGGTGTGCCTGGCTGGCTCAGTTGGAAGAACATACGACTCTTCCTCTCAGGGTCATGAGTTCGAGTCCCACGTTGGGTATAGAGATGACTAAATATATATATTTATATATATAAAAATCTACTTTACAAATAGGGTGTGTTGAATACCCTTCTCAGGAGTTCAGAGTAAGGGGTGGAGCTGGGATTTGAACCCAGGCTGTCTTGCTCCTAAGGGCAGGCTCTTAACCACAAATCCACACCACCCCTTCCAGAGAAAGGAAACGTCTCTGTCTCCCCCTTCTCAGCCAACATCCTAAGACTGATTCTGACTGGATTGGCTTAGCGTGCAGCTCATCCTTGAACCAATCTGCTGTTAGGCAGCTCTTGCGTGAGCTGCACCTTGACTGGGCTGCGTACTCTCTGGCTTAACCATAGGAAGGGGAGCTCATGACCTTCAACTTCCCAGCAAGCTTTGCGGTAAAGCCCAGTTGAGTCACTGGGGAAATGCGGTACAATTGTCCACAGTTCTCCGGAGAGGACCTATCTATATATCTGGGACCAAGTCATGGCTTTCTTTTCTTCAGGAGGTGAACATGGCAAAATTTTCATGAATATTGATGATAAAAAAAAAAAAAAAAACCAGGAAAATGATGCAGTTCCTCCCAGAGTCTGCTTACTGCAAACATGGACAACACGCTATCCCTAAGCTTGATGATAAGCTTTGTGGCAGGTGTGACTCCTCCCTTTAAGACCCCCTATAATAGAGCCCCCTGAAGCCAGACTCGAGGAGTGGGAGGGGTGCAGAATGGGGAAGAGTTAGAAGCATACTGACTCCTCCCGGCCTGGTGGGTGTGGAGGGCAGGTGTGCCAGTTATTTGCCTGTGCGCCTTCCTACTGCTCGCTCTTTATCCCTGGGGACTACATCTCCCAGCCTCCCTTGTCCTCTGGCATCTAGGACGGGCTGAAGATGAGAGGGCAGGAGAAGGAGCCATTGCCCCTCTTCCTGCCTCCCCCAGCCCCACACCTGCCGCAGGTGGGGTCCTCCTGGCAGCAGTCCTCCCGTGTCCTTTGGGACAGCCACCCCTCCCCCACCTCCAGCAGTCCCCAGGGACTTCAGTCACTGTGTTTCTCCTGCCATGGGGCATCGGTGTCTTCCTGTTGCTGTTACTCTCCTGGTGGCCTTGACATCCTGCTGGGTTTCTCAGCTCCTCCATCCCCTATGTGACTGGCTCCCTATCTTTTTGTTTGGTTGTTTGTGAATGTTTATTTATTTATTTATTTTTGAAAGAGCGCAAACAGGGCAGAGGGGGACAGAGGATCTGCAGTGGGCTCTGCGCTGACAGCAGAGAGCCTGATGCAGGGCTCAAACTCAGGGACCGTGAGATCATAAGCTGAGCTGAAGTCAGACACTCAACCAACTGAGCCACCCAGGCGTCCCACCATTTCCCTGTCTTCAATTGTCCCTGTTTCAAATACCTAGATTGGTTTCTGTCTTCCTGACTGAGCATCGACAGGCAGAGAAGGAAACCTTCCGAGTGGAGGCAAAGCTGATTCTAGAACACCAAACCCTCCTTAAATAGGTGGGATTCACTCAAAACACTGTTGCTTTAGAAAGCAGGCTGAAATTGGTAGTGACTTATGAAAGATTGTGTGAATATTTCTACTTTTGAAAAAATTAAAACCAATAAAGGCTGAATACATCAAATCGAAATTGTGCCAGTGACATTTCATGTTGCTTTAAATTAGGCATACTGGGTGAGCCCCTATACATTCCCATTTGCCATGTTTAAGAACACTTACTGATCTTGCCTGCCAAAAACTCATTGCATCCTTTCTTTCCGTGACCCTGGATTTCCTTTCAGGAAACAACCCCTCCCGTTCCCAGTCCATGAGGTTGCATGGGCTCCATTCACAACAGAACACTAAATCCGACACAGATTGGTTCAGCAGGTGGCCATGAGGCTGGTTCTTGCCTTTATGGATGGGTTTGAAGATGGACTCATGACCCAGTTTGATCCAATCAGAATGAAGGCTAGAATTTCTCCAAGAGTTACTGAGACGAAATGCTTTCTCTTCCACTGAACTTGAACGTGGGAGACAGTACTCTGTGGTTATCGGCAGCCATCTTATTACCATGTGGACTCAGAATGAAGCCAACACAGAGAGCTGAGCCAGGTGGCAGTGGCTTCATTTTAGCTCCTGCGACAAGCTGTGCCTTCAAACAGGTAGCTCTACCCCTGGGATTTTACAGCACAAAATCCAATAAACTCACTTTTTTTTTTCCTTAACCACTTTAGGTTGGGTTTCTATCACTTGCAACCAAGTAAGTCCTGACTGATTCCCTGTCTCTTGAAGATGAGAAGCTTTTCAGAACCTCTCTTTCTTGCTGTGGTAATAAATACTTACACTTGTTTCTTTGTTCCTTTATGGGAGTTAATATGCAGATTCAGAGGCATTGGCTTTCTGCATTTAGACGTTCAAGAATGAATATGTTCTGGGGCACCTGTGTGGCTCAGTTGGTTAAGCATCTGACTCTTGATTTTGGCTCAGGTCGTGATCTCAGGGTTGTAGGACTGAGTCTCTCGTCGTGGAGCCTGCTTGGGATTCTCCCTCTCCCTTTCGCTCTGCCCCTCTCCACCCAAATAAAAAATAAAATAAAATAAATGTTCCTCGTTTGGAGGTTTTAGAGGAATAATCTTAAATTTTTTTTAAATGTTTATTTTTGAGAGAGAGACAGAGACAGAGCACAAGCAGGGGAGGGGCAGAGAGAGGGAGACACAGAATCCGAAGCAGGCTCCAGGCTCTGAGCTGTCAGCACAGAGCCCGATGAGGGGCTCGAACTCACGAGCCGTGAGACCATGACATGAGCCGAAGTCGGACTCTCAACCCTCGAGCCACCCAGGCACCCCTAGAGAAATAACCTTAATGCTGAGAAGGCAAAAGCTCCAGTCCACCTTCATTTAACCAAATCTTTTCCCTCCCATTTGATCAGTCTTTTCTCTGCTCTGAGCCCCTCTCTCAGAAGGCTTATTTCTTTGTAAAAAATTTTAATGTTTATTTATATTGAGAGAGAGAGAGAGAGAGAGAGAGAGAGAGAGAGAGCATGAGCAGGGGAGGGGCAGAGAGAGAGCGGGACACAGAATCCCAAGCAGGCTCCACACTGTCAGCACAGAGCCCGATGAAGGGCTCGAACTCATGAACCATGAGATCATGACCTGAGCCAAAGTCAGACACTTAACTGAGCCACCCAGGTGCCCCTCAGAAGCCTTATTTCTAAGGTGAGGTCTCTACCCCTATAGTTTCCTCCTTCTCTCCAATACAAGGCAGAGACTCTGATGCCTCAGATGCCCTGAATTCAAGTCCCATTTCAGTTTCTTCATCTCTGGCACCGGAAGGACTGCCTTCCTGCAGGTAGCTTGGGCTGTGTGAATACTTCTGGCCAGTGAAGTGACAGGTGTAACTTCTGGGCCGAAGCAGAGAAGCCCAAGTGTGACACAATAAAAAGGAAGACTGTTTTTGATGGTTGGCCTATGACAGTTCTCAAGCCGTCACCATTTAAGCATCGTGTCACCCCTGTGATGACCGCACTAGCCCGCAGTTTGCAGATGGGGAAGCTGAGGCTCAAAGAAGTTAAAAAGTCTGTCTGGGATCACGCTGCCAGTAGTCAGCAGAGTTGGAATTGGAACCCAGATCTTGCAAGTGCCAGAGCCCCAGTGCAGACTAGACTATTCTGTTGGCAGCCAAATGAGCATAGTAAATGGTTCAGGACGCAGCGGCGCTTTCTGGAAACGTCCACTTCACCCCCTCTGTTTGTTCCTCTGTTCCTTTGATCTGGGAGCTGGCAGCCGGCCTCTCCAGTCAACCCTAGGAATGGGCAGTCACACCTCATTAGGTACCCTCCAGGCCTCCATCACATGGCAGTCATATGCCAAGGCAGGGATTTCGGTGGGACCTTAGGAGCACCACCACCAGCTCTGGGCCATGACGCAGCTGCTGCTCCTAGTCCTCCTCTCCCTCCTCCCTCTTTTCTTCCTTCTCACCAGCGGCTCATTTGGCAGGGGATGAATCAATTATTTGGTAAGGGACCTAGAGCATACAGTCGCCTCTTCTGCCACTGTGCTGAGACCCGCACTGTTTGGGGAGGTGGGTGCACACTGATGTGGGTCAAAGCTGGACATCGGAGGCAGCAGGGGGTGATGGCTGGAGGACGTCCGGGAGGAAAAAGAGACCCCCGTCCTAGTCACGGGAGCTGTGCCAGGATGTGCGAGGTGCTGCCACCGCACAGGGGAATATGACACAGGACTCCCACCCCCGGGCTTACGTCTGGTAAGAGAGACAGACATTTGTTCAGTCACCCCATTTTACCAAGCACCCAGGGAAATTCTTTTTGTAGGTGCAAGAGATAAGGCTGTGAACAAGACCTGAAAATCCTTGCCCTTGTAGTGTGGATATTCTACTCTAGGAGGCAAATAGGTAAAATATTTACATATCCCAGGTGATAAACACCTGAGGACAAAGGAAATAAGAAAGGGGCTTCAGGTGTGGTGGCGTTAGGAGCGGGTGCGGTTTGAAACCGTGTGCTGAGGGAAGACTTCATGAACAAAGCAAAATTTAGGCAAAGACCTAAAGGTGCGGTATTACAATATTACAACCAGAACCTACCAAGGGTGAGGACTTTAGTCCTAGAGGCTAAGAAACACAGCAGTGAGCAACATAGGGAAAGAGCCTTGTCCTTGGAGTTGAGGCTCTAGCAGGAGGGACACAGAAAGTTAAAAAAGAAGAAGAAGAAGAAGAAGAAGAAGAAGAAGAAGAAGAAGAAGAAGAAGAA